AAATTATTCCTCAATTCTTCTGGAAGAATACATGGGTAGGGATACCTCAGAAAACTTTGCAAAAGAAGAATAATAAAAAGACTTGTTCTACCAAGTATCAAAACATGTCATCTTAATGCAATAGAGAAATACTGTCACAGTAAAGGCTACAACTCAGTGAAATAGAACAGAAAACCAAACAACATATGCTAGAATATAAAATAATTTAATATGGTGGTAAGATGGCATTTTAAATCACCGGGGAAAGTTTTGACTGGTCAATTAATTGTCCTTTACAATTGAGAAAATTGTAGGGAATTCTAGTTAGATTTCTACCATGTATAATATACACAGTAATTTCAGAAATATTAAAGTGTCAGGTATAAAAAGAAAAAGATGGGAATAAACCAGAAAATAAATAAATTATAAAACAACTATTCATCTGTCCTTTCCATTCATCTGATCTGGTGTGAAAAAGATAATTTTCTCCAATTTGGAAAGACCAAGATCTATTAGCTTGAGTTTTATGCTCACAATCTTCATCAGATAGACCCTTCTTATCGTCCATCAAACAGACCCTCCTCAGTTTCCACCAGATAGACCCTCGGGTGAATGAATAGAATTTTCATCTCTCTATTCTGCTTACTTTCCACTCTCCATGATTAAAGCTTCTCCTCTCTTTCCAAATTCTTGATGCAATTTGTCCCCCACTACACTTTTGGTCGATGGCTTCACCCCACTTCTCAAGAAAACAGAGCCATTCGGACACTTCAGTTCCTCCCTACAAAGCATTAGCACATTTTCTTCCTCTCCTCTTCTCTCACAAAACAAGAGAACCCTCCTTTCAACCCACCCCTGCCCTTGCTTTCAGGCCCCTACCACTGTCAGTTATCTCCTCTCTCTTTCTCACTCTTCTCCTTCTTTCTTCTATTTTGAATTTTTTTTTGTTTTGTTTTTGTTTTTGTTTTTGTTTTTTTTTGAGGTGGACTCTCACTCTGTCACCAGGCTGGAGTGCAGTGGCATGATCTTGGCTTAGTGCAACCTCTGCCTCCCGGGTTCAAGGAATTCTCCTGCCTCAGCCTCCAGAGTAGCTGAGACTATAGGCACGTGCCACCATACCCAGCTAATTTTTGTATTTTTAGTAGAGACGGGGTTTCACCATGTTGGCCAGGATGGTCTCAATCTCTTGACCTCGTGATCTGCCCACACTGGCCTCTCAAAGTTGTGGGATGACAGACATGAGCCACCATGGCTGGCCTCTATTTTGAATTTTTTCTCTTGATTGCTTTAATCATAACCTCTCTTATCTTTAAGAGAGTCATGATTTTGGCTCCATATGTCATTCCTGTTATGTTTTGAATTCCCCTCCTTTTCACAGCCAGTATTGTTTACTTGCCTCACCTCACCTTCCCCTCTCCTCTCAACCCTCTTCAGGATGACCTGTGATGCCAACATTCTCCCTTAAATTACTCTTGCTGGGCTCACAAGTCACTTTGAGGACAGTAGGTTCAATGGGCAAGTTTAAAACCACATCTTACTTGACTACTCAGCCATATTTGTGACTGCTGACCGATACCTTCTTGAGCCTCTTTCCTTCCTGGGATGCTATAATGACAGCTCACCTTCCTGGTTTTCTGGTTGCCTCTCTGAACACTGACTCCCAGTTTCTCCATTCGTTTTCCTCCTAATTGTTAATCCTGGAGTTCTTTTTCACTTAGTCTTAGACCTATTTTTTTTTTCTCTCTGCTCTATACTCTTGCCATCTATTCCCTGCCCACGGTTTCCATTTCCAAACATTGGCCCCAGTCTTCCCATATCCAACTGCTACTCAACATTGCCACTTGGATGTTCTATGTATACCTGAAATAAAGTATGACAAAAACTGAGCTCACCAGCTTCCTCTCCAAAATCGGTCATCCTTTAAGGCTCCCTCTCTATAAACAGCATTCTGACCCCCCAGTTGTATAAAACAAAAGGGTTACAGTTCTCCATGACACATCCCTTCCATGCTTCACTCTTATCTGTCACCATCAAGTCATGTTAGTTTAGCATCCCCAAATCTCCTGCACAGTCCATTGATCTTCCACATTGCCATCCTCTGAACCCAAATCTCCTATACAATCTATTTCTCTTCTACCCTACTGTCATTCCAGTCCAAGTTACAATTCTTTCTCCCCGGGATGACAACGACAGCCTCCTAACTGATTTTTCTCCTTCCACCCTTAACCTCACAAAGCTATCCACCACACTACAACACCTCCTCCCCATTTTGCCCTGGTGACTCTGTTTATCCAGCAACTCTAATCTGTGTGCCATTTAATATCCTAACTTGCCATTCTAGGTTTTTCCCTGCTTTTAATAATTCTCCTAGTACCATATCCCTTTATGTCAGAGTCCTGATTTAAAAAAAAATGTAATGAATTAATTTTGAGTATAATCATTTAATGTCTGTCTCTCTTTCCAGAATACAAGCTTTATCATGGATAGAGCTCACCTCTATTTTGTTGTTATTGGTGCATCGCTACTGTCCATCACTGTCCCTTGATCATATTAAATACATAATAAATATTTCTGGAAAGGAAGGGTGGATAAGGGAAAATAATAGGATACCTGACTAATTAAAAGCTTCTGCATACATAAACGATTTTAAAAGCCAACAAAACACTGGCAAAAATATATTTGCAACCTATGCAAGAAAGCTTATGTCCTTAAAATGAAATTACAATTACAAGCCCGTAAGACAGAGATGAGCAGAAATGAAGAGCCATACAGGAAAATGAGCACAAGGTATAGATAATTTGTTCATAAAAGAAGCAATGTAAATGGCTCATTAAACTAAAAACAAAATCTGTACTCTCCAGTATTCTAAAAAAGATACACATACACATGCACTTAATTTTTTAAATAGTCAGTGTTGGCAAGAACAGACATAGTCTTCTGCTGGGGAGTCCAGAATGGTACAAACTTTCTGAAAGGCAATCTGGTAATATATGTCAAAAGCCTTAAAAATAAAATAGTTCATTTACTTTGGCCCAGTAAGTTAATTTCCGAAGCGTTAATCTTAATGGCTATCTGCAGAGTTGCATACAGACTTACCTATAAGCGTGCTCATTCCAGCATTGCTCAAAGTCATGAAGAATTCAAACCAACTTTAATGCCCAGTAATAAAGGATCAGTGACTATAAAGGGGCAACGCCCTCTCTAAGCAGCCATTAAAATGTATGACCCTAGAGAACACCCAAAGATTTTTTTTTAAGTCTGCAATTTCTTTAGTGATAAAATAAGGTCACAATGCAATATGCACAGTAGGAGTTACCGTTTTTAAAAAATTATATATATATATATATATATGAATAGGCATATCTTTTTTTAAATAAAATTTTATATGCGTAAAAAGATTGGAAAATATCTTTGAACATTTGAATTATGAGTAATTTTTTTTTCTTTGTCTAACCTTTTTATATATTCTTAATATTCAACAAATTCTGTATATCATGTCCATAATGAGCAAAACTGAACATATTTTAATTTAACAAAGGAGAACTGATTGCAACATATGGCCAAGGCTATATGTAGAGAGGCGTAGCATGATGATTAAGAGTATATGCTTTAAAACTTACAGACAGGTGTTTAGCTCCCTCTTTACAACTTAAAAGCCATATGACCTTCAGCAAGTTATTCCATTTTCTCTGCCTCAGTTCTCTTATTGACGCAAAGGAGATAATACTTACCGGGCAGAGCTGTTCTGTCGCTTAAGTGAAATAATGTAGGTAAAATTCTAGTCCAAGTGTAAGTGCTTAGTGAAAGTACCTGCTTTTATAATGCCAAAATATAAATAGATCTGGTAACAATTTACTGAAATTCATTATTTCTAAGGGGTTATGGCAGAAAGTTTGGGGAATAATTTGTTTTCTGGCTCACCATCTTCCAGACTGTTGTAAGAATAGTGAAATCCAGCAGGAGGATGCTGGCAGGAAGGCTGACCAGCTTACAGAAGGAGCCCCAGGAAAGGTTGCAGTCATTAGGGCAAAATGCTGGCATAGGTCATTCATTCACCTATTCATTCAACCAGCAAATAGTTATTATGCATCTACTTCATGCCAGGCATTGGGACTCAATAGCAAGTCAAGCTAGCTGCCTTCTTGGAGCAAGGCATGCTTCTTCTAATTGGATTGGGGTTTCAAGCCACATAGTTCATGTTGATTCAGGAATTAGTCAGGAAACTGACGAAGCACTTCCTAAAGTTAGAGAAAACTTGGCAGAGTAAAGAAAATGATACTTGGTAAGATGACGGGAAGCTCACTTTGCATTTCTCAAATACAAATCCTAAAGCAAGCTTGTCCAACCAGCGGCCCCTGGGCTGCGTGCAGCCCAGAATGGCTTTGAATGTGGCCCAATACAAATCCATAAACTTTCTTACAATGTTCTGAGATTTTTTTTGTAATTTTTTTTTTTTTTTTTTTTTTTTTTTTTTTTTTTTTTTTTTTTTTTTAGCTCATGAGCTATTGTTAGTGTTAGTGTATTTTATGTGTGGTGCACAACAATTCTTCTTCTTCCAGTGTGGCCCAGGGAAGCCAAAAGATTAGACACCCCTGAAGCAAAGACCTCCTTTCAGATTCCCACCTCTGGCAGAACTGGAAACTGCTCGTGTCCTTTCTACCCTTATCAGGTTCAGTTCATAGACCGACTTGCTCAGTCTGCTGATGAAAAGCCTGATCAGCCTTCTGAAAATGGGTCAGCAAACTATGGCCTATGGGTCAAATCCAGCCCATTGCCTGTTTTCATAAATAAAGTTTTATTGGAACACCACTGTACCCATTCATTTATGGATTATCTATAGCCATTTTTATGCTAAAATGACAGAGTTGAGTAGTTACAATAGAGAATGTACAGCCCATCAGACCTAAAATATTTACTGTCTGGTTCTTTATAGAAACTTTGTCAACCCCTGTTCTAGGTTAGTGGGGCTAGAGAAATGATGTGGAAGGTGACGTCAAGTTCATAACTTTTCCATTCTGTAGTTCCAGGAGCTGTTCCTCTAGAATCCATCCAAGGGGGACCTTTTGAGGAGAAGATCTACATCCAGTGGAAACCTCCCAATGAGACCAATGGGGTCATCACGCTCTATGAGGTAAGGAGGTCCCTTGTGCTGCATCCATTGGCTTAGCTTTATTCAAGTCACTTCAGCCTGACATTGGTGAATATCCATTCCACTGAAGGTATAAAGGTGAGTAAGATGTGACTTATAAAAAGGTTTCTGACAGTACAGTGGGGGCTGGGCGCGGTGGCTCACTCCTGTAATCCCAGCACTTTGGGAAGCCAAGGCGGGTGGATCACCTGAGGTTGGGAGTTCAAGACCAGCCTGACCAACATGGAGAAACCCCGTCTCTACTAAAAATACAAAATTAGCCAGGCATGGTGGTGCATGCCTGTAATCCCAGCTACTCAGGAGGCTGAGGCGGGAGAATCGCTTGAACCCAGGAGGCGGAGGTTGTGGTGAGCTGAGATCGTGCCATTGCACTCCAGCCTGGGCAAAAAGAGTGAAACTCCATCTCAAAAAAAATAAATAAATAAATAAAAGAAGACAATACAATGGGGTGCAAACATAATGGCGCACAGTGGAACTGTCTTGGTAGCCCCAAGGACAAAGAAATTTGTATATACCATTCATTGAAATGACAGTGGTGACAACTGACCTCATCCACGAAGGAGCCAAAACCCAGGGAGTCAGATTGTTCGTATGTAGAAGAGAAGGCCCAGGCCTGCCAAACAGTAGTGAAAGTTCATCTGGGAAACTGCAATACCCACATGACGCTCACTCTATGAATATCGGTCCCTTTGCTTTGAAAAGAATCCCAATGTTATTCTCTGCAGCAGGAACACAGGATGCTTGAGATGTAAAATGCTGTGTGTCCAAGGCATATTTTGTCATCCAGGTGATGGCGTCCAAAGCCCCCCTTCCAAGCATTAGCAGAGCCTTACCGTATCAGAGATGAACCAGAACCTACTCAGGCAGGAATGTACCCATCAAGCCAACACAATGTGCCTTCCAGAAAAGTTGCATAAATAAGACAAACTGTATGAATGTTTATTGCAAAACAAAACAAAACAAAATCTCCAACAAAGGTGATATAGCTAAGATTCAAGTACTGGGATGTGAGTAAGATTGAGCCTCCTTCCACCCCTTGTGTTCTTACACATCATAAGATTGCGATACTAGATCAAATGGAAACCCATAGCAATGCAGATGGAAGGCCATGGATACCAAAGCTGGAATGATGTAGCCTAGTGTCCTAGTAGCTCCACCTTCTCCTGAGTTACCTTTGGTAGCATCCTCCTCTCTTTAAGCCTCATTTTTCTCATCTGTAAAATAAAGGTGGTAATTACTTCTTCAGGGTTTCCCTAGGGAGTCTGACGAGGGGGAAACACACAAGCATCCCAGACCAAAACATGTACCACAGGCCCATGAAGAGACTTAAGCCACTGAGTGCTCATGCAGAAGCATGCATGTATAGGGAGTGGGCTTGGGGGGAAGAATATTGCTGCCATAAGGAAAGGTGAGCTCTGGGGAGGAAAGTCAAGGAGTATTTGATGAAGGAAAAGTACTCAAGATTAATCTAACAGACTCATAACTTCTCTAGAGAGTCATAGATGGTCCTGAGAACTCTCTGAGGGAGATTATCCAACATGTACAAGGTGCTTAAGAAAACAACTTATCTCACTAAAAGTAGCATTCCTCAGGAGAGCTAACATCTTCCTCTTAGAAATTGCAGGGAGCTTGGTGCAGCTCTCAGGATTACCACATGGAAGGCGGAAACAAACATCCATCCCCACCTCTTATGAGCTTTCTCAGGCCACACGCTTGGGAGAAGCTTTCTTCCTGGGGAGTACCCTAAGAGGAGGGCAGGTACTCATACCAATACACCTTGCCTAGTACGTTTTCAAAACCTCTTTGGGAAAGACAGGGACTGGAAAATTAACTGAAACAAAATCCAATCACTTCAAATCTACATGCTATTCTTTGTAAAGCAGAGACCGCAGTCACACAGACACATACACAGACACATACACAGACACAAACACACACACACACACACACACACACATTTAAATGAAATGAAGATCTGTTGTGCCTGGCAAACTTTTCTTTGTAAAGCAGAAGGAAAGGACCCTTGATTTAGGAAGTGAAGTTACTTGGTACTGTTATGTAAAAGACGCTCTGTGCCAGATGTTGAAGACTTTTGGAATTCACAGGCCAGTAGCATTTAAAAAGCTTTGGGGGAGTAACCTAGGGTAGTTCAACATCTCTTATTTACATCATTTTATAAAAGACATAATTCCAAAAATATAGAAAGGAGATAATTTCAGAATAAAAGTCCATCCTTCAAATTGAATAAATTTATGATGTTTTACTAACTCATGACAGTCACATTAATTTTTCTAATTTTGCATTGGATTGATGGCAACTTTGTCATGGAAAAGCCCTGGTCCTTGTACATACCTGCATTTGGAAACCACTAGTGTAGGGTGATGCTGCAGGTGGAGTCATATCTCTGCACAGATTATTCATTGAGAGTAATATACTTTTTCCTCTAGTAGGGTGATGCATTAGACTGGATCTTTGAGAGCAATATACATTTTCCTCTAGTAGGATGATGCATTAGATTGGATTAGAAATATCATGATTAAAATTCCATGATAAGAAGAAAGAAACAGAGGGAGAGCAAGAGTTCAAACACAACTGTGAGTTAGACTCTGTGTTTGAGTAGAACCTCCTGTAATTGAGGCATTATTATATAGTGCAGTCTCTGAAGCCCCACGCACAAAGGTGGGTACAGATTAGAGCAGCATGTCCTTCTCACTTCCGTGTGAATCTGGTGCCTTGTGGATTTTCAGAGATCAGATGCCAGGGATGTTGGCATTCCCATGGATTCTATGGGAGACAACTATGATGAAAGATATCTTCAAGTAGCTTCTTGGCTGTGACTTGGGCTATAATTGCAGAGAACCACAACCAGAGTATTGTAACTGATTGACTTGTTGGTAAGCATTTGAGGCTACTTTTGGGGAATATGCCAAAATTATTGAGGGATGCTGTAAAGACAGCTAAGAAGGTTATAGATTTAGGCCATTGTATTGTGAGCATAAACATGAGTGTGGTCATGTGTATCAAAAGCTAGTGAGGCCTAAGAAAAGAAGGATGGTGACATTTGAGCCCATATAGCCTAGATCTGAATCCCTGCTCTGACATTTACTTGCTCTGTGACCTTGAGTACATCAAGTGGCCTCTCAGAACCTTAAGTCTTTTATCAGAAAAATCAAGGTAATAATAAAATGGCCTTATAGGATTACTCTGAAGATCCAATTAAATGTAGGTTTTGCACAGTGTTTGGCATTTAGAAATAACATTATAAATGTTAGCTGTTATCATTACATAAAAATGAGGAAATTGAGTGCAGAGGGTTAAAATGAAAAGACCAAGGTCATATTACCCAGATGCCAAACCCAGGACTCCTAAATGCAGGTACAGATGTCTTTCCCCTTGCTGCAACTTAGCGTGGTCCATAGACCAGCAGCATTAGCATTACCTGGGAGCTAGTTAGAAATGTAGCAGCTCAGGCCTCTCCAGTTTAACAAGATCCTTGGGTGATTCCTATGGGCATTACGGTTTCAGAAGCACTGTTCTGGAAAATACTACTCTTGAGAAACTTTTGGCAATTGATAGAAGAGTATGTTCTCTTGAGTAGAGAGATGAGAAGTACCTGTTACTCTGGGCTCAACCCAATCCGGTCCCAGACAGTAAGCAAGAGACCTTGCTTTTAAAAACATTTGTAACAAAGCATGTGTTTATGAGGCAATTTACAAATTTAATTAGATGAAACCAATTTGATTTTTTAAATTAAGTTCTAGTTGTAATTTCAAGAGAGAAATTCATAAATTACAAATTACCCTCTTCTGGCCTCAAAAAAGAATATTTTATTACAAAGAAAAGTAGGATAATGCAAATGGAAGAGAAATTCAGGATTATCTGTGGCCTCTTATATACAACCTTAGACTCAGCAAAGTTAAAAGCAGAGAAAAAGAAAGGGAGGGGAAGGAGGGAAGTTTCATTATTTTAACTATGTTATTGTTAAATATAGCAGGTCCAAGTAGTTAAGATTAAATTTCCTTCTGCACATGTCCAAGTCACAACCTCTGGGTGCGTCCTTGGACAATTCTGTTCCCCAAAATGTGAGTGGCTTTAAGTCCCATTCTGTCTGCAGTCTTCAGTCCTCTCTTTCTGATATGAAGGTGTTAAACTGTTCTAGGCTTCAGCTGGGTAAGAATGAAGGGGAAAATAAATCTGTGTCAAACCCACAAAATCAAAGATTCTACATCATTTTTGAGTTTCTTTGCTGTTTAATTCTTGCCTATAAGCCAGCCAAAATCTCTGAAGGTAAAGTAGTGATGACATATGAATAAAAACAGCAAGTGCAAAGGCCCTGAGGTGGAAATCACTTAGGCGTGTCTTAAAAATACAGTAAAAATGAGACCAGAGTGACTGGGGCTTCCTGAGCACAGAGGACAGTGATGAGACCATGTGGGGGAATGGGTGGTTAGGGCCAGGGATGCCAGGACACCTAGAACTTGCATTTTATCCTGATAGGAATGGAAAGCCCTAGGAGAGTTCTACACAGAGGAATGAAGGGATCCAATTTATATTCTTAAAAAATCATCCAGCTGTTGTGTGGATAAGAGATGGTGGGCACACAAGCATCTTGGAAACATCTGGAAAATGCACCAGGAGGCAAGGACATTTCCATCATCTATGATATTAAAATGAACTATTTATTAGAAGACCTTGTACCTGGGCAGAAGATGTGAAATCTTTGTTACAGCTGCCTTTTTACTGCTGCTAACCCAGCTTTGACACCCTCTTTTCAGTAATGAGTTCTTATCTTGATGAGCACCCTGGAGCCACGGACCCTTAGATCCTGGGCCCACCTTCCCTGAAAGGTGGGCCTATTACTGCTCCAGGGCTGTGAAACAGTCTCATTCTGCAGCAGCCTCAAACTCTCTCTCTGCCCACTGAAAGGGGTGCTCAGAATCCTTGTCAGAGCCCTCTGGTTCCAGTGTCATCTGAGCTGCAGC